AAGGTTTTGAACTAGTCAGTGACATGTTAGCAAAAGCCACCAAGTCAGCGGCCTGGATTATAATCCTGGGTCTGCCACCCACTAAACATAAGACCTTAGGCAAGTCTTCTGGCCTTGGTGGGACCAGTTTCTCATTTGGAAAATGCAGTGCTGGACTGGTAAGTCATTCTCACCTGAGACATTCTAGAACTGACATGATCAGTGCTGTAATCCAGAGCTTTCATTTTTGTCAATGGAGTGGATAAAGGAGAGACCAGAGAGGCAGGCCACTTATCGGGGCAATGGCAGGAAATTCTGTGCAAAACATCTTAGGAGTCTGAGTGAGACCTTTCACTTATTCATTCAACAAACATGTAATTCTCAGTACCAGCCACTGGGCTAAGCATTGAGAATGTAGTAGTGGCTAAAACAAACTCTCTGCCCTCAAGTACTTTCTGTCTAGGGGCAGCAGAGGAACAGGGGCCATGGGTCATACATCTAAGGATATAGTTTGAAACTCCTGACAAGGTCCCAGGGGAGAGAAAGCAAAAAGTTTGGGGAAAAAAGAGACCTGAGGTAATAGAACTTAAGGAATATCCTGTGGAAAACCAACTAATATTCACTCCATGATTGCACATTCTTCACCAAGTCAACACAACAAACCCATCCCCAATATATCCTGCTGTAGCTAAGAAGCTATGACACACTAAAGAGGTGATGTTCATTTAGACACCCAGTTTTCCCTGACTACATCACTCCTGTATACAAGGCAAAATTACACCAAAGCCATGTGTGGTTTATATAATAGCAGGTCTATTTGGTTTCCTTCGAAAGGTCTTTATTAAATACTATTGATGTGTAAAAAGTCATATGGGTGGCTACCTAATCTTTTTCCACACCAAACTTCTCACTCTCTCGCTCTCTCTTTCTCTTTCTCTCTCTCTCTCTCTCTCTTTTTCTTTTTCCCAAGTTTTTGGAGTGGATCCAGGAGCAGACTCTGAGAGCCTCAAACTTTTTGTTATTTACCCTTCAGTAATTACATGTCACAGGTTGTCTTTCCTATTAGAGTCTGAGGCTAAGCAATTAGTCTCCCATTGTCCTTGCAGGAAATGACACCCATGTGACTTCTGGGGAAGGCAACTGTTGATCACTTTGGTTAAAATAATTTGGAAAGTGTTCGGCACTTCCTCTGGTTGATAATTTAGACTGGCTAATTTAGAAAGCTTTTGGAAATGGACAAAGCAAACAATGGTTGTCAGAACCGGAAACACTACTGGGTCAGTTCCCCCAACAAAACGAGTCTCTGAACTGTCGCTCTGGTCTCTCAATGCACTGAATTGTCTGGACTCCAGCATGTGGTTGAGTTGGTGCCTGGATTATGTTCCCTTTATAATGCTTTATTTAGGGATGTTTTCTAGCTGCCGATAATTGAAAACCCAACTCCAAGAGACCTGAATAATAAGAAATGTATTGGCAGTTCCGTGACTCCCCAGATGTCAGGGTGGGCCTAATGCGATCACCCCACTCTGCTTCCCTAAACTCTTTCTGTCTTTGCGCTCCTCTCTGGACCAGTTCTATCTTTAAGTGGGAGCAAGATATCTATGGAAGTTCTGGGTGTCACATCCCACACAACATTCAGGAGGGAATTTCTCCCAGAAGAATGAGGAGAAGCTCCCCACAAAACCTTCATATCTCATTTTCCTGAATTAGGTCACATGCCAGTTCTGGAACCAATCGCAGGAAAGGGAGTTCCCGTAGATCAGTGCATCTCAAACTTCAGTGTGCACACAGATCACCTAGGGGTTTTCTAAAATAGATTATGATTCAGTAGGTTTGGCGTGGGGCCTCAGAGCTGAAGCCTCCCAGAAGCTCCCAGGTGATGCCGATATTGCCGGTTGGCACAACGTAACGCCTTAAACTACTCAGATCCCCACCCTTTAGCTGCGGCTGCTATCACCTGCCCATGGGACACTGTGATTGAAGCAATAGAGGGGATCTGTTAGGAAGAAGGAGGAGGGAATGGCCCCATGCAGATGGGAATTGTATTAGAGATAACTTCTTCCCAGTATGTAATGAAATTGTTCCCTTCAAACCGGGAGCCACACACAATAGTCTATGATATGTATCAGAAGTAAAAAATACATGCAGTGTAATCTGTTGCTGTATAGGAGCACCTATAAACATCTCATTATTTATTTATGAGGATATATATATCATAATTCATGAAACGGAAGATAAAACAGTCATGCTGCCCTCTTCATTATCATTCATCTATTTTTGTTTAGTACCATGTATCTTGTGCATCTCAAAAGGAATAAATTCAAATGAAATACATTTACATGTCCTTAAGAATAAGAGTCTGTGCCAAGTCGAGCCTTTGTCTTTGAGTGAATGTCTCATCAGTCTTGGTTACTAGGGTGGAAGAATACATCCCACTTATCATAAGAGTCATTTGACACGGTGTAGGGCTTGAAAAGTGTTGCCAATGGTGAATTTCTGCCAAAACAAATGGTCACAGTGCCCTTATGAATGGTTTCAGTGGAGAATATCATTATGCTCTCTTCATTTGAAAAGGAAGAGCTAGTCTGTTATATTTTTGTTTTTCTTGGCAAAAATACGCAAGAGTCCTGAGCTGCAGCTATTCAGGAAAAAGACTGATAAGACTAAAGGACTGATGTCCATCATGAGGCTGATCCATGACAGATTCAATGGAGTTCAGAATGAAATATGCAGCCAGGTGTTTAGGAGACTTTCCTGATATGGTCACTTTTGGTGCCATCTCTGACTTCATATGCAAAGACAACATCACTCAGGAGAGGAGATGGAATTTTGCTGCTCTATCTACCCTGGAACCACCTACCCTGGAACCATGGGCTCACACAACTCTTAACTGGCCTTGCCTGCATGAGTCACAAGGTACCTGTGCTTAGGAAATCACCAGCTATTCTTTGTCTATGCAAAGGCCCTGAAAGGTAAAGAGATTCTCAGACAGGCCTAAGTCAGACAGACACCCCTTTTGTCGGTAGAATGATTGAAGGACTGGTCTGTTCCCCGGAGACCTGTCAGTCAGCAGCATTGACTAAGCATTTACTCTCTAAAGAGAAAAAGTAAAGGAAGAGAGCATTTTGTTGCCTAATTTCAGTACTTCATACTCCAAATATGGAATGTTTAGGTGTCCCTTCTACATATTTAGGACCCCCTAAGCTGCCAAAGAGATGTAAGGTAATACTAATATTAGCTGAACCTGTGTAGGATAAGCAAGGTTGTGCTGTCACTGAACAGTGCTGACCGAATGTCCTCCTACTGTGCCACCTGTGAGGAAGGGCATTTTTAGCCACGGGGTGGATTTTAAAAATGGGGAAAAAATAGGGCCTTCCCTTACAACTGAAAGACATACAACTTGAAAAGTAGGAAACAGTAAGTACATTTAAAGTATCTGTATCAACTAATATAAAATTAAAAAACAAATAGTAGCAAGGTAATCCCAAATTAGGAAAATCAAGATAGAAAGGGCTCAAGAAAATGAACATTAAGCTAAGCCTTTAAGTGGGGATACTTGACCTGGGGTCCGTGGATGGAATTCAGGGGGTCTGTGAACTTGGATGGGGAAAATGTTCTCTCTTTATTTTCATTAACTCTTAACTGAAATCTAACATCTCCTTCTATTATGGAAATAGCATTAGCTATTCATTGGCAATAGAAATTACACGGTTTTTCCTATTACATTATAGTTAAAGATATCCTGAGATATCATATATGCTCAACACTACTTCAAAATTAGTCATTAGTAAACTTTTACTGAAATTTATTTAAATATTGAAAGAAGCACATAACAATTGTTATATGTTTTGATAACTGTATATCAATATACTTCTTTTGCATTTCATGTGTTAATTTCAAGCATTTTTAAAACATTATTCTGAGAAACATATCTCTAGATAGTTATGGCACAAAATTAGGTGAAGAGCTCCTGCCTTAGAGAATGGCTGGGCCTCCTACCAGCACTTAGGGGACAGAAGACATGGCTCACACGGGGCAGGTGACTGGATGCCCCAGCGTTTGATGGGAAGATGTGGGGATAAAGCTGAGGTGAGCTGGAGCCCCAGGCTAAGATTATTTCACAGATAAATTTGTGGGTAGTAGGAAGCAGTGCAAGATGTTTCCACTGAGGCTTTATAGCTGTGTTTAGGAAGGATGCTTTGCGGAGCCAGGAGGCTGGGATTGGAAGGGAAGAAACAGGAGGCCAGAGACCAGTTTCTGCCAGGACCGATGCCAGCCAGAGAGAGTGATAGTGAGAGCGGAGAGAGAGCTGGGAGTCTGAGCGTGCCGGCAGGACTGGAGGGCAGGCGTGGGCCGCGGTTTGCGGCAAAGGTGAGGAAGGCCATGGCAGGCTTCAGGTTTGAGCGACCAGGAGAAAGAAAATCACTCTTTATGTTCACCAAGTACTTACTTGGGCCAGATACTGTTTTAAGCCTTTCTATGTCATTTAATGTTGTCGAGTTTAGATCATTTAATCCTCATAATGACCCTTTGAGGTCAGTATGATGATTCCTATTTTTCAGATAAAATGAAGTCCAGAAAAGAGAGATCCGAGTTTCACGGCCAGCAGAAGAGAAGGGGATGTGCTATTGAAAGAAGCAGGAAAGAGGAATGGTTTGGGGGGAAAATACTATGAGTTCAACTTTAGATATTTTTGCATTGTTCTCTTGTCTTCAATTATTTTAAAGGGCTAAAAATTCAAATAAAGCATTTATAAGCATTTTCTGGCGTATTTTGTTGTCCATATTTTTATTTATTTGGTATTAGTGAGTGTTGAGGTTATTTGTAAATTGGTTTCATGTTCCTGTGAAAAATCAAAGAGGAATTTGGCAGTAAGAGTGTGGTACGTTGACAGGTGCCCAAAACAAGGAAGACGTGCAGTATCGAGAAGGGAAATACAATATGTATGTGTGTGTGTGTGTGTGTGTGTAATTACATCTTTAATGATGCATCTATCCTTTTGTTGTGGTATTATTTTTCAGGACCACTCCAGCAGCTGTATTAGAAGACATGTGGTGTATATAAAGTTTGCGTAGTTGGGGGAAATTTTGGTAAGTGTCACTGCATTGTTTTCTAAAACCTTTTTTGTAAGTGGTGCTCACAAAGGGAAGCCATTGTTTTGTTCTGTGCATCTTTAAATGTGCATTAAACTTAGACAAAATGCCATTTTATAATTAAATTTGACATTCAATTGGTGCTTTTTGACTGTACGACTTTTTTTCTTGTTATTTCTAATGGTATTAAGCAATATGGGTTTTCTAAAACTTAATAAGAAGTCTAGATTTAGGAAAGCTGCTGGATGCAGGGTAGAGAATGCCCTTGAAGGTTTAGCTTATGTTTTAAGTCAACCAGAGAATGTGAGTAATAAACTTGTGGACCAAAAGAGTGAAATAAAATGAAAAGTCTAAAGCAGAGAGATCCTTATGGCCTCTGTGTTGAAATGAGAGAGAAACAGGCAATTAGCTGCTTGGGGAATGGGAAATTAGAGAGACTTAAGAATCCAGCATGCCTGGGAGCCAGCCTACAAAACAGCATAACAGTGGCCTAAGAGACCAAGATCATTTAGTTCAGCAACCACTTGCTAGCAATAATAAAAAGAATAGTCTTTGGATTTGGGAGACCTAGGTTAAAATTCAAATTCTACACTTACTGGTTGTTGCATAACTTCTCAGAGCCTCAGTCTCCTCATCTGTAAAATGTTACCTATTTCGTAAGGTGATTGTGACAATAAAATGAGCTAGGTAGTGCTGGGACATAGTAGATGCTCAATAAAGCAGTTATTCTTGATAACAGAACAGGCTTGTTTGGAAACTGGACAGTTGCCACAGAGGTCAAGCCCTCAAAAGGTGTTCATATCTCCCAGCAGAGGGGCTGCTGGAGCTGGGTGGGTTGTGCCTCCTTTGCTCTCACAGGGGACAGCAGACTTGGTCACTGCAGTCCCTCCTCTAGGGCCTATTCCAGTACAAGCCGTGGGGCCAAAATGTTTGTCTTCTCTAACCCTGTCTGCCCCTTCCTAGGCAAACGCAGATAATGTAACTTCCCTTCCTGCCACCCGTAGAGCCAATTGAAGTCACATTGTTGAATCTTTGTTCAGTTTTGGAGTTAATGTTACTTTAAACCAAAATAACAGGGAGAGAAAGAAAGGTTGGGAGTAGATGGTACCCTTCATTTGGACCTTAGTTACCAAGTTCAGGCTTTCATTTCCAAACCTGTCTTTTGATTTTTTTTGGGGGGGGGAGTCTATGTATATTATGTAATTTTCACAGAAATCCCATTAGTGGACTGATTCTTTTTGAGCTTTGACTAAAAGAATTTGGCTTTGGGGTCGGGCCTTTACCTGTGGTTGGGGGAAATGAACTGTGTCACTGTGGATAGGCTAGTGTTTATAAGATCTGGTGTCGAAGTGACAACCCTCTAATTTCATGGAATCAGAAGGACGGACCCGGCCTCAGGGTTTGTCTGGCCTAATCTTCCACTAACTAAACAAGCCTCAGCATCCCTGTAGAGGGAAATTCACATTCTCTCAGAGATGAGCCTAGTATTGCCCCACGCCACTTGCTCCAATTAAGAAAACAATCAGGAGCACAGGAAGATTTTAAGGGGTGAGGAAATTGTTCCAGATCTTGATTGTGTTGGTATTTATACAACTGTGTGCATTTGTGAAAACTTACAGAACTATACAATAGAAAGGGTAAATTTTGCTGTATGTTAATTAAACCTTAATTTTTAAAATGGAAAAAAAAACAGACAGACAAATATCTGGGCATTTGGCTCAAATTGTTCAAAAGGAAGAGGGCGGGTGGGTGGGAGTGAAAGTAATCTAGTCCTTATATGAAACTACAATATGAACTCCATAGGTCAGAGACTGGGTCTTCTTTCTTCCTGTCGTCTCAGTGCCTGGCACCTGGAAGGCCGATGATAAACATTTATCGAACTACCTACTGCTCTTAGTCACTTTTTAAGCAAATGAGACAAGTCCACTCACTTTCCCACACACCAGCTCACCAGATACTTAAAGACGACCTCCTTCCTCATTTACCTTTTCTTCTTTGGACTGAACCTAACATCACCCATTCCTTGATTCTTTGTCTCCTGATGTTATTTTCCTATCTCTCCCCACCCTGCAACTCTCCTTGAGGAAGCATCTGCTTTTCCATGTCCTTTTTCACACTTGGCACAGCTTTAAAAATGCTGCCCCTGAGGGGGTCTGGCCCTGGAGGAGCACAGTCAGCCATCGATTCTGTAGATGATATTAGTAGACACCAACCCAAATCTTCTTCCTTCATAATCAGTCCTGAGTGCTTGGTAGTGGATTGTGAAGGGTTTCTTAAGAGTAGTCTTCTAAGAATGGAGCTCCCAAAAGTAGGGAGGATAGCAGTCCAGGAGATCGGGTTGCAGATTCATCCTGTTAAATGTCTTGACTGAAATGAGGTCATGCTGCCCTTATTTTGAGACAGCAGTAGTGCTGTTTATAAATCTGTTGAGTAGTAGTGTATCACAGATCCTGATTCTTCATTATGAGTCATAGGAAGTTTGAAATTCTTAAAACTAAAACTTGTGGATGCCTTGAAAATCTAGATATATATTTCTCCTGGCCATGCCGGGGGAAGTACATAAGTACATAAATAGAGAGCAATGGTTCTCAATCCAGGCCAACTTTGTCCTCCTAGAAGACGTATGGGAATGTCAAAAGACATTTTTGATTGTCACAACTTGGGGAGTGTATGCTTCTGGCTTCTAGTGTGTGGAGGCCAGGGATGCTGCTAAATACCCCGCAATGTGCGCTGAACTCACAAACGAGTGATCCAACCCAAGATAATAATTCCAAGGCTGAGAAACCTGACATAAAAGAAATAAAAAAAATTTTAGTGTCTATATTATTCATTATTTTGAAGGTTTAAAATCTTAAATATTTTGACATTTAGTTACATGTATTTAACTAGAAATCATTAAAATGTTTGTTCAAAGAATCATAGGTCTAAAAGGGTTCCCAAGAAGCTATCTCGTACATTAACTCTGACTCCAAACAAAAAATGGTCTAAATGAAATTCAGACAGATGGGTGTCTGAAGGCTTATGCTGACAACTGGCAACTAAAGCTAAAAGCGAGACTCACACAACATGATCCCAGCATTCACACAAAAGAGATTGTCTTATATTTTGAATTTTAACACCAGTTCCTTCACATGTGTTTGTCTTTAGATGACCTCTGAGATAAAACAGCATTTCAGTCTGGGCTAGTCCTTCCTTCTGAATCATGGTACCGATTCTATTGTGATAAAAATGTGTTTAGGGAGGAGAGAGATCTCATTACCGATGATTGAGCCTGGGTATTTTGGTACACAGGGCTGTATATTTGCATCAATTTCCTAGTGATACCACAAGTAGTTTAGAGCCTTTGTAGCCCCGTATGGCTACATTTGCTGAAGCAGGGAGATTAAAGCAACATATGTGAAGTTGTGATATAGGACAGTCCACTTGAAAAGACTTTAATTATAGGGCCTATTTTGAGAGGGTAACTGTGCTGTTTGTGAGTATATTTTGGAATCCACTAACCTAGCTTCAAGACCAGTAATATCTTCCCAGAAAGGGTGTGGTGTGTGCTTGAGGACCTAAATGTTTTCCTGCCAAAAGCTTTGGTGTGATATTCTTTCGACTTTACTCCCCTTCATTTTTCTTTTTCTGATAATCTTTCTTCTTGCAAGAATGGTATGAAAATGCATTCTGGAAAGCTGAAGGAGGATAAAAGATCTCATTTCAGATGGCCAAGCCCAGAGATTTAGGGACTTAAACATTATCAGTCTGCTGTTTTTAAGATGAATAGAATTTGGAAAATGTACCAAAGCTGAATAGTAAGCAGAGTCAAGTGACACTATAAAAATACCATATCGGCACTAAATATTTTAATGTATCTGTAGGAAAACCCACACATTTACAGCTGTTTGAGTCCAGAACCCCCTTTCCATCCCCTGAGTTATTCCCATGGGTCGTTGCCATGCTCTTTCATAAAGGCTGAGAACCTGGAATGGGCATCTGCTTTCACTTCTGCTCTTCAAGACTTGTACCCTTGCCCTGCTCTGCCTCTGGTGCCCCCCGCCCCGCGCCCCCGCATTCCCCTGTTAATTCCTGAGGCCTTGGCCTTAAAGAGGGTTAGACTTTCTGCCCAGTCAGCACATCCTAGTCCTCCTTTAAAAGTGAATGATAAAGGAGAAATTAGATCAGCAAAACAAAATTAGCTTCTCATTTACACTATAAGGGAAGGGAGTGGAGAAGAACACACAGAAAGAATAAGAACAAGCCATTTTGTAACCCAAAAGCCTAACCAGACCTAAGGGCAAAGAAGCACTTTGACTTCAATTCCAAGTTCACGAAGGCAACAAAATGAGAGCCAGAATGTTCCGTGAGGGAAAGCTGAGAATCTCTGAAGAGGTGTTCATGTTCTCCCAGAGGCGACCTGCAGCTCCTGGGAATCAGTCACCCAGGGAGCCTGTTGAAAAGTGCAGGTCCGTGGGCCTTCTCTAGACAGACAGAAGCTGAATCCCTGTTGCAGTTGTGCATCTTCATGCTTAAGGCTCTTTGGCACACTAATTTGTGCCACTGATTGCTCCAGCCTTCGTTCTCAGCTTTGTTCAAGGCTTACAGCCCCATATGAGGTTGTTTGCAACAGCCCTGCCCAGCCTCTAAGCTTCCCTTCTACGAGCAAGCATCGCTGAAGAATGTAGATTGCAGACCAGTCCATCGTTTTGTAAGTCAGGCGGTGCCTGCCGCTCCATGCTCTGGTGTGCATGAGGGAGTATTCTGTCACCTGGTTCTCTTGATCCCTGAAGTAATTCCCTGCCCGTTCCAGGTTAGTTTTGGTACCATTCTAAGCCAGATTCTTGGAAGGTACTTTAAGACTGCCATCCTGCTTGTCAGCTCCAATAGACCACTTATCTGCCCATCAGCTTTCATTCTGAAGTCATACTGTGGTGGGGCTTTTATCTGCAGCAACACTTATAAACCAAAATTTCCCACTTACGGAGGGGAAGTGCTTCCAGAATAAGTAACTGTCG